TTCACAACTTTTGGGTCTCTTACTTTGTGTCTGGTCTGTACTTTGTGGTAGAGTGGTTAGCTTTTAGCAGGGTGGTTAGCCTTACTTCTTGGCAGACTGGTCGGCCTGCTGCTCCAGCTCCCTCTGTAGAGTCCTCTGGAGGTCCTCGTGGACTTCAATGGGACAGTCTTCGTGGACAGTGAACAGAGCTATGGCTCCTCTCTGGTCCTGGTCTTTCAGAGCAGAGGCATAAACCTGCTCAGCCAAAACCCGTACACGCTCATCCACTTCAGACATGCTCTGCCGGGGGAACTGCCGACGCATCTCTGAAAGATCAGAAACAAGACCAAAGACCGGGTTTAGACTGGGGTTAGACCAGAACAGAGACCGGACCAGACACTGGACCAGGGTAAGGCATGCTTTGCCCGGGCAATTGACCATACATCTCTGAAAGACCAGAAACAAAACCAAAGACCAGGTCTAGACTGGTTTTAGACCAGACCAGGGGTCCAACCAAAGACCAGAGGAAAGCATGCTTTGCCAGGGGAACTGTATATAAATCTCTGAAAGACCAGAAACAAGACTAGGGTATAGACCAGAGCATTGACTGGACGAGTGACCAGGGATAAACCAGGGATAGGCTAGGGATAGGCCAGGGTTAGACATGCTCTGAGACAGGAACTGTCACTGCATCTCTGAGAAAGCAGCTAAATTAAGATACATTTTATTGTCCCTGTAGGAACTGTGAACTCATTCCTCAATGTTTCTGAAGGATGGGTCAAATGCAAGTTTTACCCAGAGAGCTGTTTAAACCCGTCAGAAGCAGCGGGACCCATCTCCAGATCTTAAGTTAGTCTTGGCCAGGACTACCTTAAATGGAGGATTTTACCTATTGTTCATGCTTTGGATTGATAGAGAATGGAAACCCACCCAGACACAGGAAGATTATGCAAAGACCACACAGAAAGGCCTGGGAATCAAACCAGGGACCTTCTTGTTGTGGGATGAAAGTGCTACAGTTTAGACCTCATTTGGACCTGGTTTAGAACTTGCTATGATCTGGTTCAGACCTGGTTTAGTCCTGGTTCAGTGGTAGTTAATCCAGATTTAGTCTTGGTGGTTTAGACCTGGTTTAGTCCTGGTTCAGTCCTGGTTCAGTCCTAGTTCAGTCCCGTTTCAGTCCCGTTTCAGTCTCTGGTTCAGTCCCTGATTCAGGTGTGTGTCAACAGATTTGTTTACAGTAAACAACGACATCATTGTATCACATGACCTCTGCTCCCTCCATGTGAACTCTAACCTCACATGCCTGACACCATGATGACAGAGTGACATGTGACCTTTGACCTCCCCTCACAGGATACTGCAGAAGTGAAAACAGTCCATGGAGGTTTGTGTCGTGTGTAAATATGAGCAGCTCTAAGGGGCACTACAAGGGAAACACACCGTCTATGGGTTTCAGACATCACTGCATTCTATACTAGGAATATGAAAAAATATCAAAATATCAATATACTGTATGTCTCTGTATGTCTCTCTCTCTCTCTCTCTCTCTCACTGCATGTTTGTCTTAAATGTTTTTTAAAGTGGTCCTTGCATTCTTCCCATGAACTCTCTCACACACACATTTCAGAGGAATGCATATTTTGGACTATTTTACTCTGAGCTCTGTGAGAATAAAACCAGGGCATGTTGTTTTTCTTTCAGATTTAATTTAACATTTCATAGTATGTTCTTCTTCTCCACAGCCCCTCTCCCACAGATGTGTTCTCTGCATGTTGACTTTATTCAATGTCTGCCCTAGGGCTATCATTCAGAAGTTACCGATACGATGCATACACAGGCCACGATACAATATATATCTTGATACATAGGCCAAGATATGATACATATCTCGATACAGTGAGCTTATGATTCAATACAATATATCTGAAATCCATTCGATATGGCTCAATAAAAAATACAGTGAAAATGTCAAATGTGTTGCATAAACGAGTTTCCTTCTGAACAATCAAGAAAACTTTAGCACTGTAACAAAATAATGTTGTAAAATATACCAAAAAATATTCTTGGTGATATATTGATATAGCAGCCCACGATATCGATACTGCATCATCACACTTTTGCACACCCCTAGTCTACTCAGGGCCTCTGTCACTATAAAAGATATATTTAAAGAGATGTTTGAGTTATCTAGCAATCTCTCCTGAGCCCTATTTGAACCCACCTTACGGTTAGCTGTAAAATTATTCTGATTATATCAAGATTATATTAACATTATTCTGTACCAGACTGCGCCCACAGGCCTTCATCATTTCCTCTGAAGAGGGAGGGACTTAATAGTAAGAGCAACTTTAGGTATGTGTTTTGATTGGGTAACAACATTTAAATTCATGGCTTAAAGCTTACAAGAGCCCATTTTGAGTAATATAGGACCTTTAAAGTTAATACAAGTTAATTTTATAGAACATTGTCTCTTTAAATCCACATGTTTCATTCAGTCTTTGATCTTGTCCTGATCGGGTCCAACCATCACGTCACCAGAGCCTCACAAACAGCTGAGAGTCTGGCTCAGATCCAGGACTGAACCCAGATTTAAACCCCAATCAGGATCAGGTCTGGAGCTGAATTTAGACCAGACTTCACACCAGAGTCCTGCCAAGTCCGGGTCTAGTCTCCACCAGGTCGGGACTGAGAGCTCCATCAACAACAACATGAACAGCTATAGGAACATTTAGAACTGTATCATATGGACTGTATATGTGTCAGTGCAGGTTTTAATGAGGTCACTAAATAGCTAAAGAACAATTTAACTGACTGCATTTTTTAAAATACATTTACTGCTTAAATTTGCAATATTTTAAAATGGAATCCGCATATGGCTTAAAAGTCAATATGCAATCTTTTTTCTTAATTATTATTATTACTATTATTATTACTATTATTATTACTATTACTATTACTATTACTATTACTATTACTATTATTATTATTATTATTATTATTATTATTATTATTATTATTACTAGTAGTAGTAGTAGTAGTAGTATTTAGTAGTAGTAGTAATATTTATTTTTTATTATTTTTGAGGGTCTCTGAAGGCAGTGAAAAGTCCTTATAAACACATCGTGGTAAATAATTAGGATGCTCAAAATGCATAAGGTAAATGATGAATAACTTTGGGCCACTGCAAACCATCACATTTTTTATGACCATAAATCTGTACAGAGATTTGTTGCTGTATTTTATTTAAAAAAAGTATCTGATGCACAGGGAGTGCATCTGACTCAGAGGACTCCTGGTGTTAGTTTGACAGAATCTGTTTATTTACTGTTGACAGAAATGGGAGCCCAGATTGGACTGGAGCCCAGACTAAAGCTGATCTTTGAAGGTCTCTGTGACTTCAGGGTCAGACCGGGTATAAACCTGCACCGAGGACTAATGAAGGACTAAATATAAACCTGACAACTCACATACAGGAATCAGGGATTATATTAGGATTAACACAAATCTAAACCAGGACTGGACATTTTAACATAAAGACCTGTGTCCAAAACCAGTTTAAAATAGGTATAAACAACAAACAAATGAAACCAGGACTGACTTAGGACTGAACCAAGACAAAACCAGGCCTAAACCCAGAAATTAGGGCTAAACCAGGACTAAACCAGCGTTAAACCAGGGCTAAACCAGGGCTAAATTTGGATTAAACAAGGCCAACCTTGGGTCAAAAACAGGGTGCACACCAGAGTCAAACCAAGACTAAACCAGGATGAAACCACCACTACATCAGGGCTAAACCTGTACAACACAAGGCTAAATTTGAGTCGAAAACAGGGTCTAAACCAGGATTAAATCAAGTCTGAACCTTCCCATTGGTCCTACTGGTCATTATGCCAGAATAGGACAGTGACAGTTTTCCACACCTCTTGTTTACTGCTGTCTGTGCACCCAGAGTGCACGAAGAGCTGGGTGTGCACGAGTCAGTAAGAGTGCACGTGGACTGTGTGAACTTGCGGACACTTGTGGAGTATTTGAAACTTGTGAGAACAGCTGAGTCTGACCTGAATCTGAGAAAGACCAACTGTGAACCAGGACTGAACCCGGACTGAACTAAAACTAAATCATTACTGAACCAGCACTAACTCAGAACTCAGAACTAAACCAAGACTAAATCAGGTCTAAAACAGGACTGAACCAGGACTAAACCACTCAGCCAGATCTTTGGTTTGATTCTTGGGCCATTTCTTGCCTGTGTGGAGTTAGCATTTTCTCCCTGTGCCTGGGTGAGTTTACAATTTCAGTACATCCCAATCTTCACCAAGATCTGGGGAGGGGCCCAGTGTGTTTCTACAGTCCTATAGATGTACTGAGATGTTTGTGTCTGAAGTGGAGGCTGTTCTTAAAGTCATCTAAGCATCTAAGAGTAAATATTTAAATACATTCTTTCTCTCTGTTTGAGTTCAGTCTCATAGTTTATGTGTCGGCCATGTTGTTTATAGAGTCAGGAAGCACTTTTATGAGAAGTCATTTGGAGAAGAAATCTCAGCCCAGGAACCCCACTGACAACCTCCTCACACACCCAGTGCCAAACACACACACGCACGCACGAACGCGCGCACACACACACACACACACACACATACATATATATATATATATATATATACACATATATAATACATATACATATATATACATATACACATACATATATACATATATATATACATATATATACACATATATACATATATATACATATATATATATATATACATATATATATATATATATACATATATATACATATATATACATATATATACATATATATATATATATATGTGTGTGTATATGTATATATGTATGTATGTATGTGTGTGTGTGTGTGTGTGTGACCACCACCACCACACACACACACACACACACACCCTGAGCCCCCCTCATGCACACACACCCATCTGAAGACTGTCCCCTGGTAGCTCCAGCATCTGAGACATGTCAAATATGTAAGACATGCGGAACCGGAGACATATGAAGAGTCTGCCCCAGAAACTACAACAACAACAACAACGCAACTTCCAGATCTGAGCCAGCATCCTGGTCCGGATCTGCCCCCTGCTCTCAGTCCAGATGTATACTTGTCATAATTACACTTAAAGCTCTGATGTGATGAACTTGGTCTCTTATGAATGAATGAATCATCTATGTCTCCTCCAAGCACACAAGTTTCCTCAATTAACCCAAAACATGCACAATATGTTAATTCCTCCAGCTAAGATAGTCCTGATCAAGACTATCTCTAGATCTGGAGAGGAGTCTCACTGCTCCTGACAGGTTTAACCCAGACACACTGAAGGATGGGTCAAATGCAGAGGACACACACAGGAACAATTAAGGCTCTATTATAATTAGGACAGACTCTTCCATTCCCCCAGAGCTTCAGACCTGACTCCGAAACCCACACTCTGAGCTTCTTCACCTGTTCCTCTGCTCGTCTGAGGGCTCTGGGCCTGCACTAGGTCAGGGTTATCTTTATCTTTATTTGTTATCTTTCTTTCTCCTCTTGTCCTCTCCTTTTCTTCATCTCTCTTCTTCTCCTCTGTCCTCCACACACAGAGTCTTACCTTCAGAGTTCTGGTCCATGGTCAAGTCCAGAGCAGCTTCTATCTCTCTTTTTTATGTTAAACTTCTTATCTTTCCTTCTATTTAAATCTTTATCTCCTGCTATTACAGACTGTCTTTATCTGTCCTCACTGAAGTCACTCACTCTGCTGCTGACAGTGAACACCGGAGCATAAACCTGTCTCTCTCTCTCTTTCCTACAGTGACTCTGGAGCTGTGGTCTCCTCCTTCTAAAGTCTCTCTCTTCCTCCTTCAGTGTGTTGCCCTCCTCCCCCCTCCGTTTGTTGCCCTCTTTCTCCCTCTCTCCCCCTTCAGTGCATTGCTCATGAGCAGTGCCGCAGCTGCCTAACAGGAGCAGCTCTATTTAAAGATACAAAGGTGGAAACTCTGTGTCACCTCCTCATAAATAACACCTCACCCATCCTCCAGTGAGGTTCGACCCAGAGACACTTTAGGAAGGGTCAAATGCAGGTGGGTCAAATGCAAGTCTAACCCAGACACAGAAGGATGGGTTAAATGCAGAGGATACATTTTCAAGGTATTAAACTTGTGCACAATCTCTGTCCAGAAGATTAAATTTTTTATTATTATAATGTTAAATCCAAAAAGTGAACCTTGTGTGTTTAAAAGCCCTGTTTGCAAATGAGCTTTGGCTATAAATATTGTAGTATGTTAAATGTTTAAAGGACAGATTTAAAATAAAATAAAACCAAACTAATTCAAATTAAAAATTTATTTGGATTTAATTCAACAAAAACAAAATAAAATCATAAGTTTAGCTCCAAATATGAAGTGAGCGTTTAAATCCAATATTGGTTTAATTATAATTCAATTCAACAATTCAAACATTTTAAATGTTATGTTTTGTTTTTGTCTTGGTTGTTATTATTTACTGACTGCTCAGAAACAACACACACTGTAACGGCCTGTAGGGGGCGCTCTTCTGTGTTTGAGTCATACCGTTCTCAAAGCAGGCAGTCGTGGTCATCTGTTTACGGAGCGGAGCATCTCTGCGACTCATTTTCACCTGAAAAACACAGAGAGATCAGAAGTCAAACTCAACCTCTGGAAAACCACTTGGTCACTGTCACAAGGGAGTCAAACTCTTACTAGGGGTGTGCAAAAATATCAAAATATCAATACAGCATATAATTTAATGTGATCATACAGTATGGATATCGGGCGCTGTTGTATCAATATGTCGCCAAGAGTATTTTGGTATATTTTGCTAAATGATTTTGTTACAGCGCTACAGTTTTGTTGTTTGTAATGAGGAAGGAAACTTTTTTATGCAACACATTTGACATTTTCACCATTTTGATGACTAAAATGGGTGTGTTTCATATAAACTTTTACACAAGAGATCATTTAATAAAGACTTTTAATATCACAGCCATGATTTAGTCTTTATTTCTATTGAACTGTATTGAATTGATTTGAAATGTATTGTATCGAATCGAAAGTGCACTGTATCAAGGTATATATCGCATTGTATTCTGTTTATTGAGATATGTATCATATCAGCAACTTCTTAATGATACCTAGCCCTACTCCTTACTGAGAGGAGACAGAACTCTACCACAGTATCACAGAGAGGTCACGCACACTCCACTCAGAGACATCAGCAGTCTAACCCACAACCTTGTTACTAAGAGGAGTCCATATAAGGGCACAAAGAGAGGACAGGAAGCACTTGAACCACAAAAGACCAAAAAAAGGAACTGTCTGTGGATAGATTCAGAAAAAAGAGAAGGAGATATAGATTAAATTGGAGATGGAGAGAGAGAGGGGGAGAGAAAAAAGAGAGCAGGAGGAGGAAAAAGGGGGGGTACGAGGGGAATGAGAAAAAGAGAGAGGTATGGGTGAAGAGCGGGGGTAACGGGGGAGAGCAGGAGAGGAATATTCGCCCATGTCTGACAGGTCTCAACAAAGTCTGAGTCTAACAGAGCAGTACCAGGCAGGTACACATAGTTTTGTGGCTCAATACCAAAAGGATACATACATACATACATACATACATACATACATGTATGTATGTATGTATATATATATGTGTATGTGTGTGTATATGTGTATATATAATATATGTGTGTATGTGTATATATATATATATATATGTGTGTATATATATATATATATATGTGTGTATATATATATATATATATATATATATATATATATATATATATATATATATATATATATATATATATATATATATATATATATATATATATATCTCCATTCATAGATCCATAATATGCAGTCTATGTTTCTGATATATTTTTTCTTGTTCATATGAGTATAGTTTCAATATTAGTTATGGATTTGACATAAACAAACAATTTTCACAGTGACCAGAGGAACCAGTCAGACCAGGTCTAATCTTCAGACCTGAGACGCAACTCCTTCTATAAAAGACACAGACATTTAAGCATTACGTTTTAGGGCGTACTTTTTTTTACGAGCATAGTCAACGCTAGTCTGCACTGGTCTTTTTAAGCTTGTATATCTTGTATTAATTTAATGAGAGGTGTTTTAATTGCTAAAATGATGCATGTTTCTTACTATGAATAGACAGTCAGACACATAGACTTCAGACAACTAAAAACATGACATTTAATTTTGTGAAACTATTTTTATTCAGTTTTGACCAAAAATAATAGCATGTTACTAAAAGGTCTAATATTACGCAAAATTAACTCTTGTGGGCTTTAAGGCATGTTATAATGTTGTTACCTCCTCAAAAACATACCCGGAATTGAGTTTTGTTTCATTCACACATGGCTGAGTAATCCCTTATTAGTTTGTCTACATTTTCAAAGCTAAAAATGATCTGTTCCACCTTGTGATGTCATGGAGTAGTAGTTTTCAAGGTAACAACTCCCTATATACCTTTAGTTCAGTAAAGACTGACAATTTCAGGGCTGAAATTATCCAAATGGTTCTAGTGAAAGTGTAAGCAGTTTAAAAACACAGTCGAGCACTTGCTGTATTACCACATGACATCCGACAAAGTGGAACAGAGTGTTTTTTGTCTGAGAGAAGAACTCAGTCTGAATATGGAAGGTTTGTGAATTAAGCATGTGTGAAGGAAACAAAACAGGTACTCCAGGTATGTTTGTGATGACAAAACAACATTATAACATAGATCAGAAAATAGCGTCATATGGGCACTTTAAAGGAATGAGACTAAAACTACATTAAAATTCATTGTCACGATTAGGATACATTTCTGTTTGATCCTTTCATAATACTTGTGTAATGGTCTTGTTCTTGAGTGTTCAGAGTTACATAATTTCAGTCAAACACAGACACGCCCTCCTTCTGTGCCTGCACACCCCTTAAATGTACAATGTTAAACTGTTCACAATAACACAGTGTATGTTATTGCTCCGGTATTTCCCTGAGCATCCAGTCCCTTTTACAACATCTTTGTAAAGTTTAGGCAAAGCATGTGTTTCTGGCTGGACAGCAAGTATACTATCCAAATGAAACAGTCAAAGAGTCTGTGATAAGGTAGGTAGGTGTTTAAAAAAAAAAAAAAAGCATATTATATATATATATATATATATATATATATATATATATATACACACATTGAAATAGAAATGCAAATCATAAAAACATGAGAAAAGTACATTTGGAAAGAGTTTTACTTCTAAATTCCTAGTTCCTATTTAGGACTTGGTATGGACACTGTGGACTCTTATCTGTTATCTGGACCCTCTTTAGACCTGGGTCTAATAATAGAATCAATGGACTAAATCAGGTTTAAACTGGGTCTGAACCAGAACTAAACCAGGACTAAACCAGGACTAAAAGATCTACCTGCACCAACCAAGGATTGACCCATGAAAAGGACAGGACACCACTAAGAACTAAACCAGGTCAAAGTTTACCTGCAGCATCATGCAAAGTTTGAGTAACAAAGTTTAAAAAGTCGCTCACCGTTTGAAGGTAAGGCTAAACTCCAGAAACAGGACAGAACTGGAACTTAAACAGGACTAAAACAGGACTAAACCAGGTCTAAACCAGGGCTTAGCTGATGTAGAGTCTGCAGAGTTTGAGGAAGTGCGGGACAGTTAGGACACGAGCGGCCCCGCCCCCTCATTTGCATATCTAACGTAAACTGAAAGTGACGTCATGAGAGTTATCAGATCAAAATAATGACACGTGCCCTGAAAGAAAAAAAAAAAAAAAAAAAAATCTGATTAGATTTTTTTTTTTTTTTTTACTTTATTCCCAGGGCGCATCCTATTTATCCTTTATCCAGAGTGATGTCATCTCTTCTCTACCCAGGTCCTCTGCTGCGTCCTTCTTGCTCAGTGGCACCGCTCCCCTCACGTACACCTGTCATCAAACTACAGACCCCGCCCCCAATTTGCATAAACATCCGATTAAACTAAAACAAGAGTGTCGCGGTGTTTCAGAACATCACACCATTCTACAGGTCAGTCATACTTAAGATACTTAATGGGGACAGGTAAAAATAATCGTAGTAGTAGCAGTAGTATTAGTAGTTGTAGAAGTAGTTAGTACACAGCAAAAATGACAGTGTATATGTTACACTTTAAGAGTACATTCAACACCAATCTCGGTGTGTATTTGAGTCCAAGATTTCGGTGTACATTCAACACTGTCCTCAGAGTTTTATCTGAACACTAATCTAGAGTTAAAATTCCAACACTAAAAGTGTAAAAATGTACTCTTATCTGTCGGTCACAGACTCTGTCTTAGTGTTTTTTTAAACTCTATAAAGTGTATATTCTAAACTCTGTAAAGAGTATATTCTAATCACAATAAAGTGTTAATCAGTCACTTTAAAGAGTAAAAATATAATCTAGTTTGGTGTTAATTGGCCTCTATGAAATTCATAGTTTTTATCTAAATTAGTGTTGCTTGACCACTGTGAAGAGTAAAATTATAATCCAATTTGGTGTCATTTGGGCACTAAAAAGTGTAAAACCATCACTGTAAAGAGTAAATTTACTAAACTATTTAGTGTCATTTGACCACTATGTAGAGTCTAATTTAGAAATGCAATACAACCCATAATTAGTTAAATCACAAGAGCAAAATTAACATACAATCAAATAAAAATTAGATCCAATGCAGTCAATTAAGTTTATTTGGCAACAATATTTTTGAAAAACTGCAAATTTACATTGCATTGAACAATGCAAATACATTCAAGCAGGTAACTTAAATCTGAAAAGGCAATATTAACATGCCTTTTTGTTGCTGCTATTGAGAATGTACAACTTGTTTACAAAAACACATGAACAGGTACAACATAATAATCATCTTTGTCAAACCCATAAGTTGTCTGTAAATCAAATGGTTTAAAGAACCGCAGCTGGTCAACTTTAAACAGTGACACATTTCCTTCATCCAACTGAAGGACATGGTAGGAATGAAAATGTTCTGCAAAACCAAGTGTTTCAAACTCTACTGTTACAAAAATAAAACTCCTGACCAAACCCAAAAATGTCTTTTATTTGACTAAATACTGGCATCCCCTCCTCTACTGTTGAACAGACCATAAGACCAGAACGATATTCTGTACCAAAACAAGTGATCCAAGAGGCTACATGTACTTCAGAGTCTATCTCAACATGCAAACTGTTCGCAATAATTTCACCATTAATCATGTTGTGAAGTTTTACACATTTCACAGGTCCAGTGTCAATATTTTTAAATGGTGAAGATTCCCAGTGGAAAGCAATAGACAGTTGGTGTGCTTGGGCCAAGGATTTAGTAATGTTTTTTAAAATTTTTAAATTTTTGACTGTGTTTTTAAAAAAAACGATGCTTGGCTTCAAATCGCATTGCCCAGAAATGAAGAATAGGACCTATTTTTCGAATGACACGGGGATAATGGATCATAAAATGGTGTTTAGGGATTAATCTTCGATTTGGGTACAACATTTTGAAAAAGACTATGGTGATCCATAATGAGATGTTTTAGGCAAATGGTCATGCCCTCAGTTATTATAGGGGAGAATATGATGTTTATTATTTGCAATAACAGTAAAAGCAGTTTCCAGTGTGTGTCACCTTCTTGCACTAAATCCCCAAAAAGCAAAGGTATATTCCGAACCAAACAAAGAGTTTGTATGGCATTAAGGCCAATCCCATTTCCAGTTTGCTCCATATTGATCCTTGTTGGACGATTTTTTCTTTCAACACAACCAAAATTGTATGCATAGATCCTATTACTGACTTCCTCCAGTGTTAAAAAACTTTTTTCTAAAAGGTACCCTAAAAAAAGCTTTATCTCAAGTTGTGCAACTCCTTCAAGCACATCATGCATTATGTCAACTGCATAATTTTCTGAAACATTGAAGTACTTCAGATCATTCAATAAGCATGACTGCTTAACACCAAAGGAGGAGGGGATAGCAGAGTCCTCTTCAACATCCTTGCAGTGCTGAGCATGTAATTCTTTACAGCGTAATGTTATGTTTGTATCATCATCACAGAAAACAGTTTGGCATATTTCCTTATCTGCTAAACAAAAGCGGCAGTAATAGTTTGCAGTGAAAGACTGAACATACCCAAGAAGTGTGTGCAACCCTAGATTATCTCCAGTTACTTGTGCAATTGTACCATAAACAAGTTCATTAAAAGAAGGAACATTAATACCCTGCGTCTCGAGGACTTTTAAATCACTCAACAGTGGCTCCAGAATTGCATTGATCCCATACTTTTTAATATCGTCACTATGAAAAAGTGAAATGAGATGAATATTCATCAGGGCGGAATTTATCTTAGGAGGAAAATTTCGTAAAATAAAGTAAATACATCCAATCTTGTGGATACCATGTTTTGACCCAAGTGGATTTGCAGTTTCAAATTCATCAAAAAACAATTGTATTTGGAGTGAATTTTTTTTGCTGAGAGAACAGTGGGTGACCTTTAAAATATGAACCATCACAAAAATCTTTGTAGACACCCCTCTCTTCACAAGGTTGAACAATGTAGTTTGTAATTTCTTTGTTGGAAAGTATAAACTTAAGAGTTTCTAGGACAGGGACATACACAAATTTATCTTTTACAGGTACTTGGTCATATGTGCCTGAAACTCTGTTCCTTCTGATGTCATATCTCACTCCAAGTGGGATCTCAACAGGTTCCACCATACCACACTTATCATGGAAGTATTTTTTCCACTTTGTCTCTGTATTTACACATGTAAATGGATTTTCAAGGCTTTCAAAATAAGTTTTCAATTTTGCCTGTGTATCTGTATCATCAGGAACCAAGTTAGTAACATCTTCTTTAATATTTGAATGAAGTTCGTGTACAAGCTCCTCCAAATTCTCAATGACAGATGTGACAACTGTAGAAGGCACACCTTTGCTTTTAAGTTTTGCAATGAGGGATGCACACATTTCTTGAGTATTTTGTCTGTTTCCTGTAGCATTAGTAGACATTTCTGGATTTTCGGTTTCATAACTTGAAAACACATTTGTCTGATTATCATAACTTGAAACATTTGGCTCATCAGAAAGAATCGGAGTGACTGGTTCATCCTCATCAGCACCATCATCAACATCATCATCATTGCCATTGCCATGTTTAGCGTTAAGATGCCTTCTAAAGCCTGAATATGTCTGGAATTTCTGACCACATCCACTTTGATCACAAGTCAGAAGGAACCTTTTACCGGGATAAAATGCATGCTTAAACTTGAGATGTCGAACCAATTCCTTAACATAACTGAATATTAACTTGCATACAACGCACCTAAAACCCATGATAGATTATCTTAACTCAAGACTTTTGCCCTAACATCCTTCACCCTGGGGCTTTCATGACAATGTCCCACATCAATGTTGTAGATAGTGGTCTGCACAAATGTGTACATATTGTTAAGGGCCTGATCATAAGTGATGCCAAACACATAATGTGTCTTGAAAAGTTCATCAAAGGCAGACAGGGAAGACTTAGCCTTGCAAGGAAGGAGTTGCCCATCCAGCACGATGTAGTAGTCATGAATGTTGGTTTTCGATGTCCCAACTGCCAGGATGTAAGGTTGTCTCCCTGATTCTGAACTGGTCGCCTCCTGAAGACTTCGGCAAGACTGTAAAAGTGATTAACAAATCATGCATTAATGGTGGATAAGGGTATATGCAGGGAGCCTCAAGTGAAATTTAATACTTATTAAGACTTTTTGAGCACATTTTTTGAAATTTTAGATTTCATTGCAACTTCAATAAATAAAAAATTAAACATTTAACAATATATTACATATATATTTATGATGACTGATTAAAAACAACTAAAGTTAAAGTAAATGCAAAGTGATCTGAAAGTAGAACATTTTGTGTAAAAACATTTTCTGTTTTTTTTGGCATTTTCATGAGTTTCAGCTGGACTGTGCCATTATGAGTTTTTGTGCCATAATCTTTTGAACTAAACTTAAATTCCCTCTACCAATAAAATTGTGATTAAGACTTTTAAAATGCTTTAAGGGCGTTATGGCTTCTAGTTTAACATGAGCTGTAACACATGTAAATAACCATCCTTAGGGCGTCCGCTTCTTGACTCACACGAAATGTACAAAAACTCACGTAGTCCGTAGTTCGTTTGATTTCTTTTATTTGCAGATTTTCAGCGTATGCAGTTCAGTGCGGTGCGGTGCGGTCAAAGACCGTGTCGGTCGCCCTCCACAATGCCATTCTCCCCACACACCTGTCTCCCTATTTGACCCGATTATTTGACCTAATTTACCTACCTAGGACACACCCTCTTACCTGGACCCACCCTCTTACGCTATAAACCAAAAGACAAATTGACTGAAGTAACTTAAATTAGGACTGAAAATAAATCATTTTAACATTTCTATAATTTTAAGAATAATATTTTAATAATTGTTTTTAAGGTATAATAAAATATGAATGTATGGTAAAATATAAAATAACTATTTAATAAATTAAATTATGGCTCTAACAAAGGGCCTTTATTTTAGCTAATTTAATTTCTCATTTCTTATCCTGTGGATATACTTGCAACAAGGGATTAACCAATAGTGACTAGTAGAATATTAAAATGGTAATTATATTTTAGTAAATGCAATAGTTCTCTGACATAGTAAAAAAGCCATGTTAAGTCATGACATAAAAGTCATGTTTATAGCAATGGCAGTGAGAAAGAGGATATTACAAATAAAGTGTATATTCAGTGGTCACCATATTTCAACCTTTACTTGGTTGAAAATGTGTCAGTGTTTAATAGAAATAATTGTTTGACTAGTCAAAAAAATATATTCACTAGCAACAGTCAACTAATGAAATAATTATTACCGACAGCCTTAATGATGCATGAGGAAACATCAATTGTGGTAACAAATGTTAATAGGTGGAAATTAAATATAGTATAACTAAAATAATATTTTTAAAAGTGACAGGAATCTGAACTCACTGACCTTGTGAAACTTGACAACATGATCCACTGCTTCCCGTACACCGACCTTCACAGGTCTTTTCTTGCCGCCAGGTGGAGGAGGCAGGAGATACACCAGCAGCAGCAGCGAAGACATGTCACTATCCCAGGCTGAAAAAGGGGAAAACTTCAGTCAGCTGCATGGCTCCAGAAATAAAAAGTTAAAACCTTATTTAAAAATGAACAGATGAATAAGTTCAATGCCAAACTATGGAACATTATAGCTAAAATGACATACACTTTTTACCAATCCAAATCATAATTAGCTTACCTGAAATCTCTTCACCTGGGTTCCCCTCGGCAGCTTGGATGAGAGATTCAAGCATGGGTGTTTTGGTGAGGTTATTTGCTTCTTTTATGATTTTGATCTTCAGTAAGGTTCCCCATTTTTCCAAAAGCTTTGCTGACGTTTCCTCTCCAAACAGCAGCTGGAAGTCTTGCAAGATCTGTTGTAGGAAAAACAATAAAACAGCAATAGTGTAAATGTTTTCCTGCAATACAGTTACCATTTTGTTTTTTAAAATAGTTATAAACTTACCAATCCTTTGGTATCAAGGAACCTAGGAAAGACATTGAACACTGTGCTGGACTTCTCTGGATCATGAATCAGTTTCTGTCTGTATTGAAAGGTTTGTTTCATTTTCACAAAGATCTGCTCTGCATCTGTGCTGTGCTTCAGAAGAGATATGGCCTCCAAACACTGGTCCCCATCCAACTGTTGATCTGTGGTCACCACTCTTTCAACCTCGGGCCCCTTTTCTTTGGCGTTATCTGAAGAGCTGCTTCTCCTTTTACCGAGACGAAGTTCTCGCTGAATGTTTTTTTAACAAGCAATATAACCGTCATTGCTGCTTGCATCAAAAAAAATTTCCTGAAAACAAACAAAGGCAGACATTAATTGAGGCCTGCATTAAGCCCTGTAATGTTTATAAGAAAAACACTTTGATTGTAGTTCTATTACTCACATATCCTTTTTGAGAGTAGGGATCCTTAAGCGAAGGGAAAAGGGCCACGATGCCCATTGCATATTTGGTCCTTATGTCCATGGGCGGAACATTTCTAAGTTGTAAAAATGAAGAAGAAAAAGTCATTTGTAACTACAGGTTGAACATGCTATAGTAACTAGATCTAACCATTTCAAACAGTTAAAGATAAGCAAGGGGGGTTCATATCAAGAAGCTAATCTTCTATGAGTAAAACAACGTTTGAAGCAGAATTAGGACAATTTTATTCTTAAATTGCACTGATTAAAAGTATGTCTGTATGTGTGCAAGTTCACTCATTGACAGCAATATTTTCTGCCTTATCACACAACTGTAAGTGAATGTGTAAAAGCATTATGTATCAGCTGTGTTAAAAGCAATCAGCACATTTACACTTTGCTTACCCATGTTTCTCCACCATGTTGGTAACAAGAATGTTGACAAGCTTCCTTCGTACTTGATCTTTTATTTCTCTGGTCTGTTGGTATTCCTTTAGAATTTTCTCCCCCCCTGCTTTTGACTCCAAAATATCTTTGACAAGCTAGACAAAAAATAAAGGAGTATTCAAAGACATTACCCACTTATTTTAGCTCACATTTGTTAAAAAATGCATATATGTATCAGATTACCTCTTTGGCTTCTAAAGTGTTTTCATCCAACCGCAGCCTCTCTGGTGATGCGAATGATTCACCAGACTCTGACGACTGTGATGTTACAGACGCCGTGTCCGTACAGAAAGATCGAGCAGGCGACTCTAAAAAAGAAATGGGGATATTATGTACAAGGCAAAGTTGTTTTATAGTGTAGTCCTTTAATGTTTACCTGTGACTGAATGTTCACCAACAATAGTCCAAGCCATGTTTGGATTCTCTTCAATGATGTCACTAAACACCTCTTCATCAACCTCCGTTCCAGTTTCATCCAGCAAATACACACTAGTTTCACTAAGAATTCCAAACTTTTCTTTGGCTTAAGAAAAAAAGATAACACGCACAGAGCACAGGAAGTTCAGACCATAAAAAGAAATAAAACTCTTAAAACCTCGTTTTCCAGATAACTATTATTTTATATTATAGAAAAATGCTTTCAATATATCCAATCAAAGCTCATCTGTGTAGCACTTTTAATACATTAAAATGCAGCACAAAGTGAATTAGCAGTGTAAAAAATGGTAAATTAATTAGAAATATGTATAAAATAAATCTATTGCATAAATTGTGTGAATCTTACCTTCCTTAAGAAATGAAGGGAATGAAATGCCATTCATTTTTATGTACTTCTTCTTCCCTTGGTATTGCACTTTGAACAACATTGTGAATGATTTCCTGGAGAAAAAAAAAAGTTTAAAAAAAAGGTGGAAAAAACAGGAATAGGCTTGAATAAAATAAAACATTTCATATACTGTATCATATTATATGGAATACTATGGTGGGGTGTGCTTTGCTGATTATGCTCAGGATATTTGCCTTAAACAAGCACAAATAAATAAATGCGTTTATGTGTCAGATCTCACCTTGCTCCCAAAGTCTGACAAAAACAAAACAAACTGAAGATGCACTAATAAGAGTGCCATTATTTATCACACTAAAACTTTAGATCCGTGCCGTGCTCAAGAACGATTGTGTAGGGTCCTATGGCCCTTCTATGTTCCACACTCACACTTGCACATCCGAACCGGGCCACGGCCCGATGACGTCATCACATGGCGCTGTTTGTTTACATGTGCTAACGCTTTTAGCGGAGAAAATATCTGTTAGCGGCAGAAACATCTATTAAATAGCGAGGTTCATGTGCGTCCTGCGCTCCTCCGTGAGTTTATGGATATAAAAACAGCACGGAGCAGTGATGACAACCGGAGAGGAGAGGCAGCTAAACTTCGGTTTGTCCATATTGAAGGTGAGACCAGGTGGGGTTGCAGTGTATTTTGGAGCAGATATTATCCAGTTTTTCTCCTGAGTGACATGAGCGCACCTGACAGGGCTCGTATAATAAAGTCGTGCATGTGCGTGTACATGAGCTCCGTGTCGTGCTTTGACCCACCTCCTCCAATCGGGCCAAAGTCCCAACCATGCCGTGCTTAAGCACGGTTCGATTGCGCTCACACGTCACAAACGTACCGCGCTTTAGGGGCGATCCGTGTTTGGGCACAGTTCTAAAGCCCTAGTGTGAGTGCAGCCTAATTCAAAAGTACTTTTTACTAAAGCCTTCGTTTATGCAGACAATGTGTGCATCGCTTTTGAGGTAGCCATATTTAGCATAACAATGCAATTTATCGCTTTTATCACTGCCATACTTATCTAAACATATAAATGTTATATCATTTTTAAAAGCTTAGATTACGTACTTTTCAGTCGCTAGATTTGTTTTTCAATCAGAGCAGGTCATAACGCGTCCACACACAAAGAAGCGCCAGCACTTAGTCACTTTAGCTGCTTGAATTGTAAACACAAGCACTGAACTGATATCTTTGGTGGTGTATGAAAACATTTAGAACAGTCCGAATTGACTTAAATAATTTATTCTGTTACAAAACTGAGCTTAATGTGCCGTCGCAGATAATGTGAACTCTTTATAGTGAACTCCTCCCTACTAAAGCTCACTGCCCAGCTGAGACGCGGTATTTGCTTTGAATGTGCTAATCAAATATAAAACGAACAAACTCTTCTGATTTGTGGATATTCCAATGGTTTAGGGTCAATGTAAAAGCAAAATTTTATACGATTAGACGACAAACATATTCACCTTTGTTCTCACTGATAGTTCAAGTTTCCTTGGCCAAGGCATAGAAGAGAAAAAAAGTAACAATCACAATTTTCT